AAACCATCTGAAACATTTCAGTAAATAAAAAAATAAAGATTAAAACAAACAAACAAAAAACATCAAGAGTACATCCCAATTCTATAACAAGTAAGATGGGTTATAAAAAAAAAAAAAAAAAAATCCTCTATAAAATGAGGAAAATCCTCTATAAAATCCTCTATAAAATGAAGCACAAGGGCCCAAATCAGTAAATCTGTATTTTCTGGTCATTTACAGGAACCGGTAGAATAAACCAATTCACTACATTGAATTTTACTTTCCAATGCTATGTAAGAGAGGAGAAGACTATGTAGGACAAACCTAAAAACTGTCGCATGACATGTATGAAGTGTGCAACTGCACAGCGCCTCGCGCTTTATGGGGCCAAATGAATCAGACTTTTCAATGATATATATGAGAAACAGGCCTGTTTCATACAAAACCATCTCATTAAAATAAATCAGCATTTCAAACAACACACACATATAGAGAGGAGGGACAGTTTAGGAGATGATGTTAGATTATAATTTCAGCTTGCTTGGCAGAAAAGTTGCTTGCAAAATACAATGTGACATTAAAGTTTAGCATTTAGTTGCGTTTACAGTGCAAAAGTAACTTGCTGGAAAAGCTATACATTATTTTTAATTTCACACAAATTATACATGCATTTAAGTTAGTATTGTCACTATTTTTAGTAGGTTACTTCTCAACACTGGCCATGAGGAAGTCTGATTGTTTGATTTTGTAACTCATCTCAGCTGAGCTTGGGTCCACATTCTCACTCTAAAGAGATGGAGCATTTCATGCTGATTCTGATAGCTGTTTTCCTTGGCTTGTACCTGTATGATTACATGCACTTAGTGTTAAGTGACACTGTTAAAGAGCATTTGCTGAATGCGCTAATGCAGGACAGAAATGTGATGTACACTCTGAAATAACTTAATACCTCTTCGGAATCACCTTCGGGTTGAAACCCATATTTTACGATGACAACTCAATGCAAGGGACAAATTGGTGCAAGAGATCAAATTATAGATATAATGGATTTTTCAGTCTCAAACCTGTAATTAGCATTTTTTTTATGTGATGATTCTTTTGTCCTTTTTGTCCTCCTCTCTCTCCCTGTTTGCTCATGTTCATTTCCTGTCTGTACTGCACAAAGTAACAACCTTTGCATTCTGACTTCATTTGAATTGATTGTTATACTATAGTTGACCTCATAATTTGGTTTGTAGCTTCCATGCCATTAAGATTGAAACAATCTTTAGCAGAGTTTGTCTATCATTGCTGATCAATTTAGTCTCTGTGTCTATATAATTCAAGCTCTAATTTTCAGGGAAATGACTAGTGCAATTGTGGCTCACACGAAGTGAAGCAAATGACTCCTGAGAGAAAGAAAACTGCCACAAGCTAAGGTGGAAGTGTGAGGTTACACACTTCTGCTTCCAAAAAGCACTAAAGTAATTGCTATATGGCCTTTACGAGCTTTTTAGAAGTTTGCGGAGAGTAGAGTTTCCACCAATAGTTTTTGTCTGAGAGTATGGTTATGGCATTGGTTTAGGCTGTAGTTATATTTGCAGCTATGCACAGGGTGCCCAAGCATTGCGATTCCTGTGGAGAGCAACTGGATGAGCTCATTCAGAGCTAAAAAAACACACACATCAGCAGTACAAAGTTGACACTTAAAACACAATGAATGATATCTTTCTCTTTCTGCTTTTTCTAGGTCTGTGGATCACTCCCCTATCTACCATGCAAGACTCCCCACCCCTTCAGCCATTCAGAAAACCACATCCGTCCCACATTTTATGCCATCCTCACAAGAACACACATTCCCCCTCATTCCCCTCTCATCCGTCCATCCATCTGAAACAAAATATCCTCAAGCCCTCTGAAGCATTTCGCCAACCCTCTCGTCCGCTGTGGCCAAAGTTAACCAGCAGATACTCACCCCCAGACACATCCTCACTGACACTGCCACTGCCATTCCTGCACTGGCTGGCACTGTTCACTTGTGCCTGTTTGCTGCCTGTTCTTTTTGGTCAGATTCCAGGAGCCGTTGCCGGTGAGACGTGGGGCGTAGTCTCTGCATGTCCCTTCCACTGCGTCTGCAGGAATCTCTCGGAATCTCTAAGTACACTTTGTGCCGACAAAGGGCTTCTTTTCGTCCCGCCAAACATTGACCGGCGAACCGTTGAGCTTCGTCTTGCTGACAACTTCATTCGAGAAGTGGGAGGAGCTGACTTTGCCAACATGACAGGACTGGTGGATTTGACACTATCCCGGAATACCATCAGTCACATCCGGCCACTGGCATTTGCAGATCTGGAAAGTCTTCGATCATTGCACTTAGATGGCAATCGACTTTCCGTGCTGGGCCCACGAGACTTAGCAGGAATGCTAAACCTGCAACATCTTATTGTCAACAACAACCAACTCATCAATATCTCCTCGGAGGCCTTTGATGACTTTTTACTCACTCTAGAGGACTTGGACTTATCCTATAACAATCTGCGCAAGGCTCCCTGGGATGCCATTCAGAGCATGTCCAGTCTGCACACGTTAAACCTAGATCACAATCTCATTGACCAGATCGCTGAGGGGTCTTTTAGTGAGCTCTACAAACTAGCCCGATTGGACATGACCTCCAATCGCCTACAGACTTTACCACCCGATCAGTTGTTCGCTCGCTCCCAAACAGGGGTAATCAGTCCTACACCTTACAATGCTGTGATCAACTTGAATTTCGGGGGTAACCCATTACACTGCAACTGTGAACTGCTTTGGTTGAGGAGGCTAATCCGCAGTGATGATATGGAGACGTGTGCTACACCCCTTCATTTAGCGGGACGTTACTTCTGGTCTATTCCTGAGGAGGAATTTGCCTGTGAGCCTCCGCTTATTACCCGACATACACACAAACTCTGGGTTTTAGAGGGTCAAAGGGCAACACTCAAATGTCGTGCTATTGGTGATCCAGAGCCAGTGGTGCACTGGGTCTCACCAGATGACCGCATCATCGGCAATTCCAGTCGCACCACATCTTTCCGAAATGGCACTCTTGAGCTACTTGTGACTGTTGCTCGTGATGATGGTACGTACACTTGCATTGCTATCAATGCTGCAGGTGAGGCCACCTCGCTAGTTGACCTGAAGGTTATCCCACTCCCTCATCGTGGAAATGGAACGGTATTGTTAACTCGTGACCCAGGATCATCGGACATCACCAGAGGGAAGACCTCCAGTGGGCAAAGCCCAAGCCTGGACACTAACAGTGACCCCCAGGAGGGACTGGAGGAGGGTCAGGCAGAGGGTGAGGATGTGGTCAGCGAAGGGGGTGAGGAGCAGATGGTGAAAGTACAAGGAGTGACTTCCACCTCGGCACAAGTGAGATGGGAAAAGGGTCGTCTAATGGCAGCCAACCTGGTGTGGATGTTTCAAATACAGTATAACTGCACTGCAGATGAGACACTAATTTACAGGTGAGTGAGACCACAACCATGGCAATCATAACACCAACTTTCCGGATTAGGGTCAGACTATCTATTCACAATTTGTTTTCAGTTGAGGAAGGGAAATAAATGAAATATAGATTCTGTAGAAGTCAGTTTTGAACATCATTCAGAACTGAATAAGGCCTTTTAAACTAAATTTGTGAATTTGAATTCAAGATGTACTGTAGCATTTCACAGGATGCGGAATTGGAATGTAATGAAGTAGAATTTAAATGAATCAGAACTCTAAATAAATAAATCTAAAACTACTTTATTTTTTTTACTAGAAAATATAAATCTGTCAAGATGATCTCTGAATGTTGGCTTGACAAAGCTTTGTTTACAAGTTTTGAAAAAAGCTAGGTTCATGAGCCTTATGTACAGACAACCAAATAAACAAATAGATAGACAGATAGATAGACAGCAAGATAGATATTTTTTCCATTGTGAACTGCATATCTGATCAGCTGAATGGTGTGATAAGCAAAAGTTTTCACTATACAAATTAACCCCAATAAAACAAAATGTATCCATTCAAGAATAAATTCACTGTACATGTCTTAGCCTAAGCCTACAATTCATTAAAGCAACACTAAGTAAGATTTTTTTACCTTAAAATAATGTTTTCAAAATCGGTTCAGTGGCTCATCAAGTCGTGACATGGTGAAATGCACTTATGCCACCGCTTTGCGGTCCTTTATCTAATATATCCACGCTATGTAAGATTGCCAGATGCGCGTTTCTGTAGTCCGAATGAGACATAAGAAAACTACAAATTTGACTTGCTTTACGGCAAGCGTTACAATTGCCGATAGGTGGAGCGTACTCGACAGTAGACTACAACTACATGTAAGATACCTAGCAGCCAGGTAGCTTTTGAATTGTCATCATGATTCCAAAGCCGGTGCTGGATAAACAGAGAGCATGTGCGTGCGTGTGCGTGCGACAGTAGGATGCTGTAGGCTAAATTATTTACGACAGCAGTAATGGACAATTCCGCTTCCAACCTGTAGGGCGACCGCAGCGGAAAAGTTACTTGGTGTTGCTTTAAGTAACTTGCAAGATTTTAGTGAAGATTTGCAGAAAATGTGACTAAGTCAAGTGTAAGATTTCAAGATCAACATGAACTCCAAGACTTCTACAACAACTGCAAAAACTGGTCTCTAGTGGTTTATCTGGTCACTGAGGATGAGTCACCACAAATGAACCGTGTCACTATGTTTACTGAGCCATTTTTTTTATTAACCAGAGTAGCATATGTTGACTAAATCTGGGACTTAAAGAACACTTTGCTGAAATTCAAGTGATGGATTGGAATTCAGTAGGCTCAAACAACAGGCTTTTAAATATGATCTACTGTCACAGACTAATTGTTCAAAAAGCTTATATAACCCATTTAATATGACATTTAACAGCATTGCAATAATGAATATGCAATGCTCTGATTCTTGTCAGCTTGAATCGTGATAATAATGAGCTCCATATTGAACCTGAGGCAAAGGCAGTCCTACTGCTTTCTCATGTTATCAGTGTCTGAGGCTCTAGTAGCAGCTTCAGCATAGTTGCTGTCTGACATTTTCGGAGCATGTTCAATACATCTTGCACCTCTCTGAGACATTATCTATGGCAAGTGACATACACCCTCTTGCCGTCTGTCCTTCATTAAGGGGCCAAGAGGGAGTGAATGTGTGTATGTGGTGTAGGAGAATTACAAGCTACTGACACCACAGACATTGAAACTGACAGGGGGGGCTGGTAGAGAGAGAGAGAGAGAGAGAGAGAGAGAGAGAGAGAGAGAGAGAGAGAGAGAGAGAGAGAGAGAGAGAGAGAGAGAGAGAGAGAGAGAGAGAGAGAGAGAGAGAGAGAGAGAGAGAGAGAGAGAGAGAGAGAGAGAGAGAGAGAGAGAGAGAGAGAGAGAGAGAATAAAGAAGAGGGGTGGGACAGAGATAGAGAGTTTGACAGAGGGCTCAAGGGATAGAATAATGAAGTCTTTAAATGAGCCTAAACTGCAGTGCCAATAAGTATGTCACAACCTATCTTGCTGACGGCCACCACAACAACGGGAAGAGGAGCAGACAGTGAACTATCGAGAATGAGAGAGATTACAGGGGAAAGCTTTTATCTTGGCTTTGGTTTGGTGACTGGATGTTTAGCTTTGTCAAGAACAAGAAACAGCAGAAAATGTGCCTCAGTGGATACAGAGAATGTGCAAAAATAAAGAGGTATACTGTAGAGGGCAGAAAGACTTACATTAACTGGGTGAGGATGGGAGGAATGAGTGTGACAAGAAAAAGTCAGGGTTGAGTTTAGATAATAAAAGCAGGCTGTCTATGACCATTAAGTTAGTAGAGACAAAAGATGAAAGTCTTTTGTGTCTCCTTCTCTTTCGTTCAGGCATTCTCCCCTCTCTCCCTCACTCTTTTTCTCTCTATTATTAGAGTGTTCTAATAATTGCCTGTTTCTGTGTCACCAGTTTCACAAAACATTTCCCTGTCAGTTTGTATTGAGGAATGGATGTGTGTGTGTGTGTGTGTGTGTGTGTGTGTGTGTGTGTGTGTGTGTGTGTGTTGATGAATGACAAGACAAAAATCTAATTTGTGCCATTCCATCTCACAAATTCAGACACACAAATTAAAGGCACTAGAAGAAAAGGTCAAACTCACTCTTCTGAAACATTACAAGTGCTGACAATCCAAAAGGAAATTGTATCGCTCAATGGCTGCTTTATTCTAGCTCAGGAGACCTAATGGAGTTATCAGACTTGTTTCATCACTTGTATCAACTGAGGAGAAATAAATTGTTGACACACAGTACAGTAAGATTATAGAGTTATAAACTAAAAGGGATAGTTCACCACAAAAACTGTTACCCTCATGTTGTTCCAAACCCCTATGTTTTTTTTTTCATCCATGGTAAACAAAAGGTTAAGCTTTGAAAATATCCTGGACACTCTTTTCCATTTAAATGAAAGCTAATTCCAAAAACGTTGTTATTCAGTAAAAACTTTGGCATCCACCGTAGTATTTTTTATGATATTTCATATAATACTTCAACAAATTGTTCTTTTTAGTCAGATATTTTAAGTGAATCAGTTAATCAATTTCACTAATTCACTCTGACTGATTTAAGTTCTCACTGAGTCAAAGATTTGGTCACAACGAGTACCATAATATAAGTGAATATAATGTCAATCTAATGTTTTTGAAAAATATTCTCTCATGCGCATCAAGGCTGTGATTTTATTCAGGATTCTATGATGAATAAAAACAGCATTTATTCGAAATCTTTAGTAACATTTTAAATGTCTTATTTTCACTGATTGACCAATTGAATGCCTTGCTGAATAAAAGTTTAAATGTCTGTTATTCACAAAATGCTATTCAGAAGACATCATATAGACCTATTTCATGATAGTTTTACATTCTGTTTGTCATTTTCTGGACTTTGACAGCCCCCATAATATGGAACAGAGCGGCCAAGTTAGAATGCAAAAATTCACTTTCTGTGTCCTAAAAAAGAAAGAAGGTCAAACAGGTTTGGAACAGTGTTAATTTTGTCAGCAAATTTTGATTTAGTTTTAGTCTTAGTCTTTTGACTAAAATGCCATTTAGTTTTAGTCATATTTTAGTCATCTGAATTGTTTTAGTTTTAGTCTAGTTTTAGTCGACGAAATACAATAACATTTTAGTGGACTAAATCTACAGTAGATTTAGTCGACTAAAATATAATGGGTTTAGTTCAATTGTAATGCGTTAATTTAGAATTTCTCTAAAATTTCCAAACCCATACTCCCGGAGAAAAACATCTATTAACCTATTAATATGAATGATTTTTAAGTTTGAACATGCAATACAGATACAGATTTAACTACTGTGACTTAAAAAATATCTTAAAATGAAATAAAACCACTTTTCCTAAAGTACAACACAGTCTTCTTTACGATGAATGATATATTCATTCCTTATAACTACTTACACATCATTCTTTATTCTTTCAAGCAGACATATTTATTTGTATGAATTAAATATAATTAATCCTTATTAAAGCTATTAACAAACAGTGAATGCTTTTCTCTTTTTCTTTTGTTGCTTGATCAAAATTAAGGACACAGACCGCATTAGGTTTATTGCCACTGTCACTTTAAGACGTCGGATCATGTCCAATGACATGCGGATACAATTGCACTGATGCACATCCGACACACTCACAGTTTAAGACATAACCAGCATAGTTTACATGAATACTCTCCAAAAAGGACATTTAGACATACTGTTGTGTATTTCTCCATTCAGACACGAAAGAGAACTCAATTCAGTAGCCTACTCGCGCGCTGTAGGTGTATTGTGCATGACTGCACGCTTCGGGTTAGGTGTGTGCGCACAGAAAACCGCACCGAATAAAGCTCTTTTTTGCATCGTCACTCTTATTCAGAGATCTATATGTCTGCCCTACTCATTCTCCCAGACGTTCACATTTTTTAACGTTTTATGACCGCGGGGTAGATCACGTTACAGCCTACAAATGTGCGCATCTACCAGGACATCAGTTCTGACGGATCGCTTCCCAAATCGTCACTATCTAACATTTTCGTCTAGTTTTTATTCGTTGACGAAAATGTCAATAGATTTTCGTCATAGTCTTTGTCATTCAAAACTAGGTTTTATTTAGTTATCGTCTCGTTTTCGTCTGTGAAAAAATGTCGTTGACGAATAATTTTCGTCTTATTTTCGTCAACGAAATTAACACTGGTTTGGAACAACATTAAGGAATTCAGATTTTACCTTTTAGGTGAACTATCCTTTTAATGTGGATAGCATAGCTCAGATAATTTGGTCTTGGAGGAATTCAATGAGAAATGTTCATACTCTGCCTTTTGATGTCTTGGAGAATTCAGTATTCAGTTTAAGGCAAGTATTAGGCTTTACAACATGTATGTTAAAAAAAAGAACCGAAAAGAATTAATACTGCTGAGGGTCACTTTATAGGACACATGCCAATACGGATCCGCTCTGTCATTGTGTGGATGTGGCTTTCAATGGAGTTAGCACTGATTTATCACCCAGACAGACACCTGTCATTTTCCTGCCAGGTTTACTTGCCTTTCTATATCCTTTTCCCACTGGACACCTAATTACTCATTCTAGCACTTTATTTTGCTTTTTGTTTTTGCATTTGTGGATCCGGCTTCACAAACAGTGCAAATTCAACTGACATGCATGTCAAATTAATGCAACAAATGCTATCATTATCGCTTTGTCATTCACACTTGTGCACCTACTCATGTGGATAAAAAAAGGAATCCACCTACAGACATACTATATCTAGTTCACCTATGTGTTTTCTGTGTTAATGCCTGTTTTAGATTTGTGTCCCGGTTTAAAGATGTTTACCTACCAGCGCATGGTCAGTAACTTCTAAAATATGTCAGCTCCAGTGTACTGCCTTGGATACAGCTACTGAGATGTTGTTTCATGTTTATTTTAATAGTATATCGCTCCATGTGCCTGGAAACAACACAACAAGGGCACAAAGAGCTACACAGAGACTGGAAATACAAAGCTATAAGAGGGCAGACAGAATGACCTTGAGCTGTAACTCATAATTTACAGCACAGCCGGGCTTAATAGATTCCGACCTCAATGACAGAGCAGATCAGGCAGACAGTGTGTGTGTGTGTGTGTGTGTGTGTGCTCAATAGAGATGGAGAGAGAGAGAGAGAGAGAGAGAGAGAGAGAGAGAGACTTTTTTTTTTAAACTTATTGACTAAATAAACAAATTGTGCCTGCACATTTATTGGAAAACAATGGTCTTAAAATATGAACAAACCTGAAGCTGTAGTGAGTATTTTTCAACATTAAATACGTCTATCACATATCCCACCTTAATGTGCAGAGAGAGAGAGCGACTACTAAAACATATTGGTTAAAAAATGAAAGCTGCGGTGTTTTCAAAAGATTGCTATCAACCAAGGGAGTCAGTTTGAGGCAGAGGTGGTAAAAGGGGGTACTGTTTGGAAAACCTGTTTGTTTTGTAAAGTTGTTGTTAAGTTATTTTATAATTCAGCTTCCAGCGAAATCACACACACACACACACACACACACACACACACACACACACACACACACACACACGCACACACGCACGCACGCACGCACGCACGCACGCACGCACGCACGCACGCACGCACGCACGCACGCACGCACGCACGCACACTTAAAGGTAAAGATATTTTTTCAACAAATATCATGAATTACTGTATAAAAATATATACTGTATATTAATCAATTAATACAATTATATAATAAAAACAAAAACAAATCAAAGCTCATTTTAACTCTGACATTAAAAACAAGCTCATTACAGAATGTATTTTTGAATACATTAATAGATAAAAAAAAAAAAAAAACTTCTTTCAAAACACTCTGAGCCATAATTAAACAATTATAAAAATGCCCACTGCCATATCATGCGTTTGTCTAGCTAATATTCCATGTGCACCATTTAAGGTGTCTTTTAATTTTTAGCTGAGACCTAATTAAACCCATCAGAACCAGTGGACGGCAGGCATTAGCTGATGCATTTCTTCCATGAGAGAAAGATAAAGCAAAATCGTCTGTGTGTGGGACTGGGAGGATAAGGGGTTTTTTAATAATGTGACTGAAGCAGTATTGTAATGTGTCAAGGGTAGAGGTATTGTTTGGGAAGGCCTTAATTTGGCCAGAACAGCCCAGTACATTTCCATTACCTTAGCTAGTTTATGTTTATGTGCTACGAACAAGGAATACATGTCTAAGTAAAATACTGTTTCGTTGTGATGGAACGGGGAGAAAATAATTGCTTCAGGTTACTAACCACCCGCTCTCTCTTTCTCTCCCACCCTCCTCTTTCAGGATTCTCCCCCCCACGAGTGACAGCTTCCTACTGAAAAACTTGGTCTCTGGCTCAGACTACAATTTGTGCGTTCTCTCCATTTTTGATGACACGGTCACTTCCATGGCCGCCACAAAGGTCCTTGGTTGCACACAGTTTAGCACCAAGGACAATTACCCAGACTGTCGTTCGCTTCAAGCCCACTTCCTTGGCGGGACTCTTACCATTCTGGTTGGTGGAGTTGTTGTGGTAACACTGTTGGTGTTTACCGTGGCACTGATGGTACGTCACCGTGTGTGCAGTAACCATGATATTCATCACGAAATAGGAGAAGAGGTGGGATGCTCAGGAACAGACTCCCCATCTCTTCCTGCTAAGGGAGCTGATGTCTTTTCTCAGAGTAATGGAAATGGGAATGTGATGATGGTGGTGTTGCCCAACGGGCTCGTTCAAAAACGAAAAGTGGCAGAGGGGGGGTTGGGGTCACAGCCCAAACCAACTTCCAAAGTAAAACCAAAAACCCTCCCAAAGCCCAAAGTGAATCTGGAGCAGTTTAGGGCAGGACTAGAAGTCGAAATGGGTTCCGTCAGACCTCTCCCACCGTACACACTGGAGAAAGAGCAAATGTCTTTGTATTATACCCCCAGTAATCATTCTGCCTCCACACTGCCGCGTCCGTCACGCCAAGTAGGAGCGAAACCACTCAAATTCCGACCTACCAACATGAACACAAGTAAACGGGCCAGTTTAAGCTTGGCCCCGCCCAATAAGTACAGTTGTGACAGGCGGTTCAGCACGGGAGGAGGCATTGTAGTCTGTCGGGGAGGTCCAGAGAGCCAATGGAATTCCTCACTGGCCTATCAGAGCCCTTCGTTGTCTCGCGAGAGGCCTCCTCATAGAGCCCTGCGCTACAAGAGAAGCTCTTCATTCGACATGGGTGAAATCGCCACGTCAGCCTGCTATAGTTATGCCAAGAGATTTAGTGTAATCTGGACCAAACGGAGCCAGTCGTTACATGGCATGCTTGTCCAGTGCACTTCAGCAACAAGCACCTCAACAACCAGCAGTGGCAGTGAAGATTTCCACGCACAGCACACACGCGGATACATCCGTGCCTACAGCGCCACCAATTCGAATTCCAACCCTCCGAAAGCAGAGGTTACAACAAATTCAAAGAACCAGCGGCTGAAGTATAAAGAAAAGGACAAAGAAAAGGGAGAAGAACTTGAGGAGAGTGTGGTGTAGGGAAAGAGAAGACAGATGAGACACACACGTAGATAAATGAAGACACAGGCTGTTAACACACACCTCAAGATGGATGTGGAAGTATTCAAAGAGCAAACCAGTCTGAAGGAGAGCTGAAAACGTGGTAAAGTTATTGTATGAGAGGGCCCTAAGCTGGTTTGGTGGGGAAAAAAAGACAAGGCAAAAAGAGTTTATAAAAGTCAAGACTCCTAAAAATATAACACGACTACATTGTCAGTGAATCTTGGAGAACCACAAACTATAATGCAAAAAGTCAATATGAACAAAACATACATGACTAAAGACAAGCAGGCCTAAAGAAGCAGTATCTACTAACTCATGTGGAGCTGGGGGAAATATGATGGTTTGTTTTCCTGCAGCCATGTGAATACAGGGAGAGGGCCAGCAAGCAGACGTGCCGACTCATGCCCAATCGATAGGAAGGATCAATTGATAATGGCAACAATGGCATTACAGCAAATGTGGAATGTAGAGGATGCAAACTGCAAGGAAAGTGTACAAATGGAACAATGATGGGATGATTTGGAACACTTTTGGAAAATAAATGGGAATTGACTGACAATTGACATGTTGTGTGTGAGGCTGTATGTGTGTGTAAGTGTGTAAGTGAGTGAATGGATTGATGCACAAAAAAGTAATCAAAAGTAATTTTATGACACCATTGGATCTACTGTACCATGTGACCAACATCATCCAGTACAAAAATGTGTCCTGTGAAGCCAATAGACTATTGTGTTGCCATAAGGACACTGGACTATTATAGAAGGAACAATTATTTAAAAAAAATGCCATTCCAAGACTACAGAATCAATGAATAAATTCTGTTTTAAAATACATTTTAGTTGGATAAATGGATAAAAGGACAATAATGAGAAATGTTTCTTTTTGTCTTTCATAAATGATAAAAAAGGTTCAGTTTTTGTTGGAGTAAACTCAATGTCAATGTCATCAAGTGTTCATTTTTATTTTTACTAAGTACAGAACTGAACATTAAAATAAGGAAACCAGTGATATTAATTACCATTTTAATATCTGTTTGATCTTATTCAGCTAAAAACTTTATTTCTTTAGGAATATTCTGGGTGCAGTAAAAGTTAAGCTCATTTGACCTGCATTCATGATATACAGTAATGTTGATTACCATACAAATTTATTTTGACTAATTTTCTAATATAAAAAAAGGAAAAATCTGAGGTACTCATCATTGGAAGTGAATGGTGCCAATCCGTAAATGTAACAATAATGTTTTATTTTTTGCAATAGCATAGCTACAGAATGTAAACAAAATGTGTGTAACATTATCTCAGAGTGTAACAAAATGCTTACTAACGTTTTCCGTGTAAAGTTACACTACCATTCAAAAGCTTGACGTCATTAAGATTTTTTTTTTGAAAGAAATTAATACTTTTATTCATTAAGGATGGATCAAACCGATCAAAAATGACAGTAAAGACATTTATGTTAAAAAAAATATAATCATAAATTATAATGTTAGACAATTTTCAAATTATTTATTTTCAAACAAATGCAGTCTTAGTTTGCATAACAGATTTCTTTCAAGGACATTACAAAATCTTACCGACCCCAAACGTTTGAACAGTAGTGCATATCCAATTTTCGTCATTAAGACGCAACGCCATAAACCTCAAAATTATCTTACGTGGTAATCATAATTACACCACAAATGCTGTCGATTAAGCTTACCTTGTATTGAACCCAGAATATTTATTTTAAAAAAAGGGAAAAGAAACAATACTGTACAGCACTGTTAAGCACTTTAAGTAAAGATAAGATAAAAAAGTTACTTTTTTAAGTTTTTTTTTTTTGCCACCTTTTGTTGCCTTAAAAAAGAGGGCAGGCGACTTGATCGCTAAATTACTCTCCCTCTTTCCCATTGTCATGTCCTGTCTATCTGCAGTTTGAGATAGTTGCTGAGGAAGGGCAGTGTGTGAGGCTGAGATAAAGACAGGGAAAGAGACGGATTGAGGGAAAGAGATAGGACAGACAGCGCTGTCTGCAAGAGTGCTGATGCGGGACACCAAGAGAGGGAGAGCTAAAGTGAGCGAGCACAATGGATAGAGATGGGAAAAAAAGAGAGAGGGCATTGTGTCTGTAATGTGCGTGTTAGCTGTATTTTTGTCATGTAAGTACTTTGCCAGAATTTATCTCATTGCCAATAAAGCCCATTTAAGAATAGCTTAGGTGAAATGAGGGGGAGCAGATGAGTTGCCCTGTGTGTGTGTGTGTGTGTGTGCATGGATGGATGTATGATTGCACAGACACTGTGTACATCTCTGCCTTCTGTATTTACCCACAGCAACAGACAGGCTCACATCAGGTTCTGGTAACACACACACAATAGGCCGTTATATTTGGCCAAAACAACCCAGGACTTGTGAATAATGGAGAGGAATCTGCATCATTAATGTCTAATTCTGTCTTTTTAGAAAATGCTTAAACATGCAGACATTTATTTGTGCATGTAGTTTTAAAGGTATAGTTCACCCAAAAATGAAAATCATTAATGCCATCATTTACTCACCCTCATGTCGCTGTATGACTTTTTCTTAAAAAAGAAAAGAAAAGAAACATTGTCCATACAATACAATGTTGTTTTGGACCCCACTGACTTTCAATAGACAAAGACAGTTGATAAATATTTCAAACTATCAAAATGAACAGGTTTAGAGTAACATGAGGGTGAGTAAATTATGGCAGAATTTTCATTTTTGGGTGAACTATCCCTTTACATGCCCTTTCTTTCTAACATAATTTACATAGAAAAACAAAAACAGAGTTTTATAGAGTGAATGGTCGTAAACTTGGTGATCTGTGTTAAATAATCAGATCCATGTGGTCTGTATCATTTGAGAAGATTAAAGTTGGCTCATGCTTATTGTGACCATGACCGTGTGTTGGTTTGAAAGAGATGGGTCGAGAAAAGATAAGAGAATATGCTATTTCTCACCCAGTGTGTGAGAGATGTAGCCTAAAATAAAGGACATCCAGCTCTACTTTACATGCCTGCAGCAAATTTTGGCCCAATTTGACTAATTAAAACCAGTTTGATTGATGTATACACACATACACAGTTTATTCTTACAATGTTTCTGCACTCAGGCAAATCAAACACATAAACTGGTTCATCTCTAATAGGCTGGCTACAGGATGTCCAAAAATGAACTTGTCATCTAGGGTAGTCTCATAAGGGAAATGTCACTGTTGCGATTTTTATCCTTGCACCACCGAAACGTCGCTCTGGTGACATTCTCACCTCATTTCAGACGATTCCTTCAGGCCTCTGAAAACTTATCAGGATATTATCAGGTGCATGAACAACGCAGGTAAAAATATTACATGTTTGAGTGATGCAAAACACGAAAGCCAAACCCCAACCTTATTTTTAACCCTAACCTTAACAACCATGGTTTCAGATATTTTTAGGTACATTACTGTCTGAAATACATACCCAGGGCAAAATAGGCAGATGTAGTTTAGTCGAGTAGGACAAAAATAAGAATAAAGCACTATAAAAGCAGTCTATGTGACATGTGCCATTTATTCCAAGTCATCTAAAGCTAAAATAACGTTTGGGAACAGAACAAACTAATTTTATTTTACACTTGTGAGGAAAAAAAGCAGCTATATCTCCTTTTGTGTTTTTCAGATAACAGGTATGAAACATCATAAGGGTAAGTAAACGATTTAAAAATCTTAATTTTTGGTTGATAATACAACTGATAGTGGATAATTGAAAGAGTAACATACAGGGGGTATGGATTTATGTTGGTAGAAAGATGTGTGAGAGATATTTTTTCTTCTGTCTGAAGGGTTTCAAAGATTCCGCCAACCCACCATTTTCTTACACTAGTATAATCCACAATTATCATGGGATGAAACGCTGCGAGATAAGTGGATGACCACTCATTCGAATAGTATTTAGAAATTCATCTAATTATGTGTAAAATACTGGGTTTGCTAGACCCATAATTGAATTTGGCCATTCATGATATTACTAAATGGATTTCAAGGCTAATGAAACCCTCTGTTAACTGGCCTTCAAGGCTAAATGCACTTAACTTTGATTACCTAATGTGTAGGTTCTAATAATGTTCTACAATACTAGCTAATATCAGTTGTATGTGTTCTTTTTCACTTCACATAGTTAGCAGATTTATTCTGTCAGTTTGCCAGCCACACTAGCCAATGATTTAGTCCGGAACAACTTGTTGGCATGGTAACAAGTAATGCCACCTGGCTTTGGCAGCCAATAAGAGCCGTTCACAGCCAGAATGACAAAGAGATTTATTTGCAGTGATTTATAAGGACATGCCACCACTTGAAATGAAAACAAATCTGTAGATCATTCTGATGGCAACATTAAAAAAGGTAGAACATTAATTTGTACATGGGAAAGTTTCACCCCATCAAAACGACCAGATAACCCCAGAAGAGTGAGTGAGAGAAGGGATGGTTCTATTCCTCTAAAACGTTTTCTTTACTGTGCTCAACAAAAAGGATTCAGTTTTTGATGGCCCATTAAAAGGGATAGTTCACTACCAAAATGAATATGCTGTCATCTATTTAGTCACCCTCATGTCGATCCAAACTAATGACTTTCTTTCTTACATGCAACATAAAATACCATATTTTGAAGAATGTTTGAACTGCATTGGACCACACTGCGCTGACTTTCATTCTATAAACACATTTTCCAAAATATCCTCTTTTGTTTCCCACAGAAAAAAGAAAGTCATATAGTATGAAATATATTTTCTTATTTATACTTTAATTCACATGGTAAACAAATTAATAAATAGTGTAGTGCTGTGTGTATGTGTGTGTGTGTACACAAACTTTTAAGTTAGATGAGTTTAATCGCGATTAATTGACTTGACAGCAGTAAAATTAAGATATAAAATGTAAAATGAAGCAACTTTTCAATCTGAATGATTATGGCTGCTAAAAGAAACATCAAATACAAAAGTATCAATACAAACACAAGGTACAGCTGTAAACTTTGATGTCATATTATTATGAAGTACTTACTTTTGCTGGGAATGTATCTTCATGTTCACTGTTTTCAGAGCAGATCAAAACCATTTCATATTAGCCACACATTT